TAATCTAGAGACAGGAGGGAGGGCATAGTCCCTACTCCAAATGACTTGACAGATTTAGATGACCCCTCCAGGAAGGCATCACCCTACATGTGAAGTGGGGGGGGGGGGAATGGGACGGGAGGGTGGTTGGGGAGGCCATCAGAGGGTGGAAGAGAGGGAGGGAAGGACAGAGAGGGAACTGGGATAGGAAGAAAGATGTAGTCTAGTTGGAGAGGGTGTGTCCCTGAGATGGTTTAAGTTTCAACCCTTACATTGTTCCACATTAGCACTCTCTCTTTGTCTCCAATTTTCAGATCATGATGTAAGCTCTTAGCTACTGTTCAATCCCCTTCTTGTTTGCTACTGTCATGTTGTCTGCCACGATAATCAGGGGCTTAAGAAATGTTGTTATTCATAAGTTGTTTTGGTCATGCAGTCTCTTAACAGCAATAGAAAAGTACTAAGAACACTAAGAACCAAAATAGTGATCAACTTGGCAAAATATCAAAAAAAAAAAAAAAAAATACAATAGTGGCATCCATGTCTTGTTGGTAACCAGTTACTATATAATTAGAATTAAGGCCTGCCCAACAGGAGAGATATCATGCTTTGTACTAGAAACCTGACAAACCATGATAACAGAAAATGGATTTTAAAGTATCTACTTCTGCCATTTTACCAGGACAGCATAATGCCAAACTGAACCTTAAAAGTTGTTTTAATATTTATAGAAGTAGTGCCCATACATTTCTTTAAATAGAATTTAGAAAAAAGAAACTGGCAATTCTGGTAAAATATTACTGTTCATAATGTAGAAATCAACTAATGACCAACATCCCAGAACCACTGAATACATCTGCAAGACATCACCTGCTAAGGGAACACCTTCAAAAGTAAATCAAATTTTAAAAAGAAGTGCTATATTGGGCTTGAAGTTGCATTGTGTTAGAATCTGTTCTGGTGGAGCAAAGGCATAGTGTCACAACTGACAGCTCACAGGATAATCTACAATCAGGAGGCAGGGAGACTACACTAGTAGCTTTTAAAAATCTCAATCATGCCTATAGTGACTGATATTCACCACAGGCCATACCTTCTGATCATTCTCAAACAGATCCATCAATGGGAACAAGGTTTCACACTTATTTGTGTATTGGCCATTCTTACGCACGTCACAGCTACACCTGATTTCAAAGCTTCTGCCATAGTCATGGTTAAAGAAAACAAATGAAAAACCGACAAAATACAGATATTATATTGTTCATAGTGAAAATGGTTTGCATGCTATATACAGTAAAATATTGGAAATTAAAATTACATTTTTGCGGGTCTCCTAATCTGTATCTTTCAGTATAAAAATACTGTATTTGTTAGTTATGTCTCCATTCTTACATAAACATGTCATTATTTCTTTACTCATTTGTATCTCTGTTTTACTTTCTCTGTGTTCATTACAAAGTATGCATGTGCACAAGCAACATAAAGTATCTTGGTGTAATGCTTACCAAACAAGTAAAAGACCTATATAATAAGAACTTTGTGGCTCTAAAGAAAGAAATTAAAGAAGATACCAGAAAATGGAAAGATCTCCCATGCTCTTGGATAGGTAGGATAAACATAGTAAAAAATGTCAATCTTGCCAAAAGCAATCTACAGATTCAATGCAATCCCCATTAAAATCCCACCACAATTCTTCACCGACCTTGAAAGGATAATAATCCACTTTATATGGAAAAACAAAAGACCCAGGATAGCCAAAATGACCCTGTACAATAAAAGAACTTCAGGAGGAATCACCATTCCTGACTTTAAGCTCTACTACAGAGCTATAGTTCTGAAAACAGCCTGGTATTGACACAAAAATAGACAGGTAGACCAATGGAATCAAATTGAAAATCCTGATATTAACCCACACACCTATGAACACCAGATTTCCGACAAAACAGCTAAAATTACTCAATGGGGCAAGGACAGCATCTTCAACAAATGGTGCTGGCACAATTGGATGAGGTTGTGTAGAAGACTGCAGATAGACCCATGTCTGTCGCCATGCACAAAACTCAAGTCCAAATGGATCAAAGACCTCAACATCAATCCAGCCACATTGAACCACTTAGAAGAGGAAGTAGGAGGTACCCTTGAACAAATTGGTATAGGAGACTGCTTCCTGAACATAACTCCAGAGGCACAGACACTGAAAGAAACAATTAATAAATGGGACCTCTTCAAACTTAGAAGCTTCTGTAAGGCAAAGGACACAGTGGACAAGACCAAATGGCAGCCCACAGACTGGGAAAAGATTTTCACTAGTCCTATATCTGACAAAGGGCTGATCTCCAAAATATACAAAGAACTCAAGAAACTAGTCAACAAAACACCAAATAACCCTATTAAAAAATGGGGTACAGAACTGAAGAAAGAATTCTCAATAGAGGAAATCAAAAAGGCTGAAAGACACTTAAGAAAGTGTTCAACATCCTTAGCTATCAGGGAAATGCAAATCAAAACAACTTTGATATACCATCTTACTCCTGCCAGAATGGCTAAAATTAGAAACACCAATGACAATTCATGCTGGATTGGATGTGGAGAAAGGGGAACACTCCTCCACTGCTGGTGGGAGTGCAAACTCATACAGCCATTTTGGAGATCAGTATGGCGGTTCCTCAGGAAAATGGGAATTAGTTTACCACAGGACCCGGCAATCCCCCTCTTAGGCATATACCCAAAGGATTCACATCCATGCAACAAAGACATCTGTTCAACTATGTTCATAGCAGCACTATTTGTAATAGCAAGAACCTGGAAGCAACCTAGATGCACCTCAATTGAAGAATGGTTAATGAAGATGTGGCACATCTACACAATGGAATATTACTCTGCAGAAAAAAATAATGGTATCTTGAAATTTGCAGGCAAGTGGATGGCACTTGAAGAAACCATCCTGAATGAGGTAACCCAGTCACAAAAAGAGGAACACAGTATGTACTCACTCATATTTGGATTTTAGACCTAGAGCAAAAGATCACCAGCCTATAATTCACACCACCAGAGGAACTAGGATACAAGGTGTATTCTAAGAGATTCATATAAAGTCCCTTACAGAACTGGGAAGGGACAAGTCCCCCAGAGCACAGGGGAAGTAGGGGGGGGCAGCGAATGGAGAGAGAAGTAGGAGAAAACGAGGGGAGGAAAGGAAAACAAGTGCGACCAGGAAGATTGAGTCCGGTTCGGAATAGAAGACAGGAAAGACACACACGCTCGCACACACACACACACACACACACACAGAGAGAGAGAGAGAAAGAGAGAGAGAGAGAGAGAGAGAGCATAAAAGACGGAGCCAATATTGGTTTGAAGATAAAACTGAACACAAAGAAAGGTCTAGAGAACTACAAGACTGCCGCCAACTAACAATTTGAGCTTCAGTGGAAAGGCTACCATAAATGCCCTTCCTGGATAGTAAGATCAACAACTAACTTCCCATGGAGCCCTCATCTAATGCCTTTTGGGAACAGGAGCAAACACCCATACATAAACAGAGTCAAACTAGAACCCAGATGCAGATGGAGAGGACAAGACCAGGCGGCAGAAACACATACAGACAGCTTACCTGAACAAGGAGGAGCTAATGGGCCACCAGACTGATAGCTGGGAAGCCAGCATGGGACTGACCCAGGCCCCCCTGAATATGGGTCTCAGCCAGAAGGACTGAGCAGTCTAAGGGACCTCAGGCAGTGGAGCCAGGATGTATCCCTGATGCACAAAAGGACCTTGCGAACACATCCCCCATGGAGGGATAACTGCCTTAACCTAGAGACAGGAGAGAAGCCCTAGTCCCTACTTCACATGACCTGTCAGATCTACATGACCCCAACTGGATGGCATTCCCCTCCATATGGAATTGGGGTAGGGGGATGGGAGGGTGGTTAGGGTGCATGTGAAAGGGCAGAGAGGGTAAACGGGAGGGAGGGAGAGAAGGAGGGAGAGGGAACTGGGATTGACATGTAAAATAATAAATTAAATAAAAAAATTCTTCGAATCCAAAATTTAAGTTCAAGGACAAGTTACTGGGGGAAAGGATTTCTATTTTTATTTCCACAGAAAATGAAAAGCTGTGGATTCCTTCCAGAATAATGTGGTTTGATCAAGCCAGGCTACCTGAAACAGAGTACCAGGTGATCCTACTTTCAAAACAGCTAGACAAAGCAGCCTTGCAGACTACAGCCAGGATTTCTGCATCTTCTTAGAATCCCCCATGACAGTGCCCCTTACCAGCAGGAAGTAGTTTGGAAAGAATGACACCCAATTTCCCAAATATTATCTGTTTGTTTTCATTTAAATGGACTTGGTTATAAAAAAAAAAAAAAAAGAAAAAAAAAAAAGAAAAACAAAGTATGCATGTGATTTTTGGGAATTGTATCTCTATTTCCACTATGTAAGGTCCAAGGAGGTAACTGAGATAATCATGTTTTCCTGGCAAGAACCATTACTAGCGAATGAATCTCATGTTATAACCGCATTCATCTTTCATACCTCACAACAGAAGCAACTTAACCAATGCAGTGTCAGAGAGTTAATACTGGTTACAGACTGCAGTTTTCACTGTGGGATCATTTTGAGTTTGAGCATAGATTTGAAACAAAGAAATTCAGAGGCAGATTGTTTAAAAGGACAATGTTTTTTTAAAAACCGTGAATATTTCTTCAGTGGAAAACAATTTTGAATAGAATAGGAAAAGTGGCTGCTAAAGGATTTTCCATAGCTATGCAGGTAAGGCCTGCCTCTAGGGTGAATTCTTAAGAACATCATGGCAAAAGGAACTGATGAAGACTTCTGCACAATACTTAATGCATATATGCATTAGGCCTCTTTCAAGTGTAAATGCTTGCAAGGCAAGGGGAATACTGAAAATGGAAATGGTGAAGGCTATCCCACATTGCTAATGTTGATAATATTTCTCACCAGGGTGAGATCTTTTATGCTTGATAAAATAACAATGACAAAGAGTTTACCAAATGTTTACACACAGAGGATTTTTCTCCAATGTGAATGTTTTTTATTACTCTTGTGCCAAGTGGAGTACTGAAGGTTATCTACAATCCTTACCACAATTATGCTACCAACTGGTGTGAGGCATTTCATGTCTGTTAACATTACCAGAGCACCTGAAGGCTTTTCCACAATCCTTATATGCATAAGCCCTGTTTTTTGAGTGAACTCTTTCATGCCTTTTAAAGTCACTAGAGTTAAATCTTTCAAATGTTTTACACACAAAGGGTTTCTCTCCAGTGTAATTTTCTTTCATGCAAGTTACAGTTAGAAGAAGTTTAAGGTTTTTCCTGCAATGTTTACATGAATTAGGCTTCTCTGCAGTGTCTTTTCATAAATGTTCAGATGACTGGAGCAGGTGAATGCTTTTCCACAACACTTAATACATAACACTTCACTCCACTGTGGACTATTTTGTAAGCCTTACACAAACTGAAATTGGCCTGTCAACAATGCTTATATGCATAAGGCTTCTCTCCAGTGTGACGTCTTTCATGTCTGTACCGACTACTGGAGTCACTGAAGGATTTTCCACAATGCTTACATGCATAAGGCTTGTCTTTGGAGTGAACTCTTTCATGCTTGTTAAGATCACTAGACTGAATGAACAGTTTCCCACATGTTTTGCAGACAAAGGATTTCTCTCCAGTGTGAATTTTTTCATGTAAATTTCGACAAGTAGAAGTTTTGAAGGTTTTTCCACAATGTTTACATGCATAAGGCTTCTGTCCACTGTGAACTCTTTCATGAATACTCAGTTGATTGGAGCGAGTAAATGCTTTCCCACAAATCTTACACACATAAGGCTTCTCTCCAGTGTGAACTCTTTCATGAGCTTTACATGAACTGAAATTGGTGAAGGTTTTTCCACAATGCTTACAAGTATAAGGTTTCTCTCCAGTATGAATCCTTTCATGTCTGTTACGACGACTGGAGTCACTGAAGGCTTTTCCACAATACCTACATGCATAAGGATTCTCTCCAGTGTGACTCCGTTCATGTCTGTTACGACGACTTAAGTCGCTGAAGGCTTTTCCACAATGCTTACAGGCATAAGGCTTTTCTCCACTGTGAATTCTTTCATGAATATTACAATAAGCCGAACTGGTGAAGGTTTTCCCACAATACTTACATGCATAAGGCTTTTCTCCAGTGTGAATTCTTTCATGGATGTTTCGGTAAGTGGAGCTGGTGAAGCCTTTTCCACAATATTTACATGCATAAGGATTCTGTCCCTTGTGACTGCTTTCATTACTGTTATGATAACTGTACCGTGTGCAGGCTTTTCCAAAATGTTTACAAACATAAGGCTTCTCTCTTTTGTGAGTTACTTCATGGTTTTCTAAACATTTTGCATAATTAAATGTTTTGCCACATTGACTACAAATATATCTTTTCTCTCCAATATGACTTTTTTCATGGTTTATAAAGCTAGTGGAATCAATGATGGACTTTTCATAGAGCTTACACACAAATTTTTTAACTTCTTTATGAAGTCCATCATTCTGGCGACATGTGTATCTCATTAATACATTCTTATTGAGTTTATCTCTATCGTGAGTTCTCTCCTGAGGCTGCTCAAAGGGGAGACTCCTACAAGTTTCATTACACTGTTGTCTGTTGCAGGGTTTCTCCTTGGGAGAAGTTTCCAATACTAGAAGTGATTCAGAATGGTGGATATCTTCCCAATGTGCCTGATATGTAAAAGCTTTTGCCTTAGCTTCCTTACATACAGATGGTATCCCTCTAGTTTTTTCTCTGAGATACGCATATAAGGCTGAATGACTAATGATGCTTCTTACATGAAAAGGGCTTTCACAAACTCTTATTGCTGGAGGCATGTCTTTATTAATGCTATTCCCTGTAATAGGTTCCTGGTTTGTATCACAACTACTAGTGCATGCATATCCACAGTCTTTCTCAATCACCTGAGCTCTGAAAAAGAAATGAGAAAAGCATTATTGTAGCCAAGAAAAATATTGGAGGTTGACTTGTGTGGACCACTACAACTATATCTTTCAGGGGCAATAAACAAACAAACAAACATGTAAAGATCCTATCATGTGTACAGAAGTAGACTGTGGACTTTACTTTTATAAGAAGTATGAAAGAGCTGTATCACAGGCTTTGATATTAAGAACAAGTCTTAGTCTTCCAGCAGACAGATTTGATGACCAGCATTCATGTGGAGGGCTCACAAATTAACTTTTATTCTTGATGTAAAGGATCACTTGTTCTCTTCTTCCTTCCACAATTTTTTTTATTAATCATAAGTGGTGTATACAAGAATACAAACACATGAACATATGAGTGGCATAAAAGGAGTGAACATAGAGGCTAGAGTCCTATTGTTAGAAGACAATCATAACAATCACTTGTAGTGATGAAACACTGTGGCCTTTGAGTGTTCTATATACTCAGCCAGTGTTGGTTTGTTAGTTATTAACAAGATCCATCAGAATGAGACCCTCAAATAAGAAATTGGCTCAGATTAGCTTGTAAACAAGTCTGTGGGAGCATTTTCACATTCTTTATTGATAAAGGAGAGATTCAAAAATGTCAGGTAGTGTGCCCATGGATAGGAGTACATGAGCTGTGTGTGAAAGATGCCTGCTGGTTAGTTTTGGTCAACTGGACACAAACTAAGACACACATCTGAGAAAAGGGAACCAGAAAGGAGAAAATTCCTTTATCAGACTGACATTTAGGCCTGCCCATGGAAGCATTTTCTTGATCACTGATTGAGGCAGAGTGCCCCAACCCAATCTGATGTCTCTGGGGAGATGTAGGGCAGGGTTGAATAACCCAGAAGCTGAGTAATGGATAAGGAGCACCCCTGAAAACAGAATTTTTCTCCATCACCTCTGCCTCAGTTTGCACCTCCAGATTCCTGCCATGTCTGTGTCCCTGCCCTGACTTCCCTTTATGATGGGACTGTGACAAGAAAGTGTAAGCAAAAATGAACTCCACCCCTGGGGGTGGGGGAGGGGCTGTCATATATATATATATATATATATATATATATATATATATATATATATCTCAACTATATTACAGCTCTAACCTAAAATAAAAACTCAGAATGATGTATAGAAAGACAGTAAATACTTTCGGATATGAAGTGAAATTGGGTATAATAATCTGCAGGAAAAGCTTTCAGAGCTTAATGTTACATGGCATATTTGTGATGTTAATAGATTACACAGGCAGGGTACTCAAATATTGAATGGTGGAGCACTACTCCATTGCAGGAATTTGTGTAGTATCATTTTTCACTTAGGTGTATTTGGAACATGTGGCAGGATCTTAGTTGTCTTTTGAGTCCCACATGTTTGACATAAATTCTGTTCTACTGAATATAAATTACCCCATATTTCTGCTGAGTTCTTTGTAGTCCTCTTCACTATTTTCTTCTAGTGCTTTCTCTAGAAGAAAATCCAGAATACTTTATGACATTCATATTGAACATAAAGAATTGTTGCAACCTAGGTTTTATGACATGGGTATTCACATGAAATTCACCACAGTTCCTTCAAGAATCCAAATCACAACCACAACACTACACACATAAGCAGAAAACAGTCCTTCTCTGACTGAAGAAGCAATGAACTTTTTTTTTTTTTTTTTTTTACCTATAGAGATCAGGTTCAAAAATGTTTCCTCCATCACAGTACTGTAGAGCTTCTTCTGAGTAGAATCCAACAATGCCCATTCTCCTACAGTAAAGTCCACAGCCACATCCTCAAAGGTCACTGGCTCCTAAGAGTACATATATTAGGATAGTTATTTGTAGCAGACACACTGATGGGATACAGAATTATGAAGCACATATGTTTCTAAAAAATCTCTAAATGTTTCTTTAGTAAGATTAAAGAATACCTGGGGGATGCTACTTTGATTACTTGATGTAATGAAGGAGGACCCAATGTCTCAGTTATTATTCACCTGCTAGAAGAAACATTATCATCAAGCAACTATTATAAAAGAAAGCACTTAATTGGGTCTTATGTACACTTTTAGAAGTGTACAGCTGGAATTTCCAACTGGGCCCCATTCCTCTCACTCCAAATCCCACTCTCTCAGAAAGACCTCCAATAGGTCTGCTTCCACATTCCTGGTGATCACAGCAGCCAGAGGCTCTCAGAGGGTCCACCAAAAGTGTTATAATCGGGCATGAATCTAGCTTGTGGAAAATGCACCATCACCTCTTGCCTACAGGGGATTTAAGGCCCTAGCTTTAGAGCAGCCATGTGATTTCTCTCCTGTCCCCTTCTCCCAAGCATCACTCAGGAGAACTTTGCCCAAATAAACCTTGTTTTTTACTTCTAATTCATCTTGATCTGGCTTACTGTGTTGGCAAATAAACCTATTATTGGATTACAGAAAACTCATTAGAGACTTAGTTAATGATTTTCGGTGATGGAAAGCAGAAAGACATAGAATTAAAACAGTAGCTGAATGTTTTAGTCCTTATCCAAAGGCAGCAGGTAAAAAGATGCCTGGCACTGTCTTTTAAAACCTCAAAGATCATCCCCACTGACACACCTCCTATGATAGGGTTACATTTCCTAAAAATGTTGCACACAATTCCACTAACTGGTAAACAAGATTTCAAATATGTGAGCCCAATGGAGCACAGTCAAATTCAAGACAACACAGGAATGTGAGAGGCAGTGTTTCATGAACTATATAGGGATTACCTTAGTGGTAGGAAGGAGCTGACAGACAATTACACTTTATTCCTAATTGTGTTTGATTTAACTAGCAGTTTCAGGGTTCTGCATTTTATGGTCTGTACCCTTCAATTGTGATATGAAATGAACTCCTGCCTTCAGTCACTTTTCTGAGGCCTCCATGACCTACAATACAGGTTGGCTGACAATATGCCATGTTTGCTACAATATTTACCAGATATGGATAGGAAATTGTACTGTTTGTTTTAGGTTAACTTTACACTAGCTAGAGTCATCAGAAAAGAAGGAGTCTCAATTGAGAAAATGCCTCCATAATGTCCATCTGTAAGGCATTTTTTAGTAATCAATGGGGGATGACCAATCCAGTGTGGATGGTGCCATCTCTGGGCTGCTGGTCCTGGGTTCTTCAAGAAAGCAGGCTGAGCAAGCCATGGGGAGCAAGCTAGCAAGAAGTACTCCGCCATGGCCTCTGTATCAGCTCCTGCCTCCAGGTTCCTGCTCTGCTTGAGTTTCTGCCTTGACTTGCTTTGGTAATAAACACCAACATTGAAGTGTAAGCTGAAGAAGCCCTTTCCTCAACTTGCTTTTTCATCATGGTGTTTTGTTACTGTAATAGAAACCCAAACTAAAACAGAACTCAATAGGAAAGAAAATTGGATTAATAGATGACTCTTCTGAATAATAAACAATGTAGGGTTCCACAGTTTGAATTTAGGACAGTTTTACTGCCCTAAATCTCCAGCCACCTGGAATTTAAGAGAAAAATTATGTTTCCCTTTCTCTATGTTTTTTTTTTTGTGTGTGTGTGTGTGTGTATTTAGAACAACATCCACCTAAACAAGTGATTTCTTAATGACTTACAGCTATATCAATTACAGAAACAAAATTATGTATGTTAAACAAGAACAGTTAAGTTTTAAGTAAGGTCAATGGCCAAAGACATTAAGGGAAATGAATACAATTATTGAGAAGGAGCTTAATGTCACAACCATGAATGTTTCAAATTCTTAATGTCACCAAAGCACTTTAGATAATATCAGCCAAACACTTTGGCATGATGGGATTGGTCATCAAGAAGGTCATACATAACCAAAACCAAAACCAAAACAAAAAAGAAAGAAAGAAAGAAAGAAATTCATGGCTCTCTGGGGATGGAGAGTCTTTTGCTTTGTGAGTGTGGTCACTGGAACGTTGTCATGCTAATTAATGCAGATGACCACACACATCTGTACCCACTAACTGAACTCAGTGGGTTATAAAATCAAAAGAACCCAAGACACATGAAATTAAATGTTGGGTACGCTGGAGTTATAAGGGCTAGATATGACTACAATACATTATTCATATGGCGGAAATTCCCAGTAATAAACATATATTAAATGATTTTTTCATCTTTTAATAACAAAGCAATAAAATAGATATCTGTTTGATTATGAAAGAGGTAAACAGATGAAAAGCTTGCTATGCAAGCCTGAAGAAAAGCGAATAGTCACCTTGGTGGGAGTTTAAACTGCTGCAATTAACAAGCAACTTAGTGGGAACTTGCCTCAAAAGGGGAAACAGAGCACTATTTCACCAGGTTATACATCTTTCCACATGTAAGGAAAACTGTCTTGTACACTACAACAGATACATGTACTCATGGTCATTGCTGTTCTAGTACCAATACCTAGAAACAAATAAGCCTGATGTTCATTAACTAATAATGTCTGAATAATGGTGCTATATCACATAAATATGGAAATTTGAATCTGCAATAAAGACTGAAAGTTTTCGGCAAATGGATGTTACTGGAAATGTAATTATATCTAGCCAAGTATCTGTAGCACACAAAGATAAGTGCTGCCTGTTTATCTTATCAATAGATTCTGTCTTTGACCTCTTACTCATCTGCTTCATAAAGAACATGGAGAAGAGAGGTTCCATGAGATCTGGGGGCAGTGAGGGTGGTATAAGCATAGCAGCAGGTATGTGATGTGCAAGTACAGTGGTAGATATAGTGAGGATAAAAAGGACAAAACAAGTATGGGAAAGAAAACAGGAAAAGTTTGCAGTATCAATGTTCAGGATTTTCCTTCATTATACAGTGATTTCCACGTCAACCTGATGGTACAGAAGTAGTGGTGAAGACTGGTAGTGGTGTCCTATGTTTTTGATCCCAGCATTTGGGAGGCAGAGGCATGTGGATCTCTGTGAGTTCAAGGTCAGCCTGGTCTATATAGTGAGTCCCAGGACAGCCAATGTTGCTACACAGAGAAGCCCTATCTCAAAAATCAAAACAAAACAACAATAAAATGAAGTGGTGATACAAGCCTTTAATCCAAGAATATGTGAGGGTATCTCCAAATGCAAAGATAGCCTGGTCAGCACAACTAGTTTTCAGGGCTACACAGAGAAACCCCGTTGCCAAAAACAAAATAAAACAATGAAAGCAATAATAATGTGTTAAATATTAAATAAAAATTAAAAATAAAATGAAAATCAAAGTAGCTATACATACAAGTATAATAAATATATTAAAAATATATAGCACATTCAAGTCAAGGTTCAGTTATAACACATTGTCCTCAGCAGGTAAACAACAGCTTGTCTTTCTTTCAGATGAACATTCCGAAGCTTTCGTATTAGTCAGAAATTATATTATGAATAAAACCAGCTATCTGAAGGCTAAAGGAAGGAGTTGAAATGACAGCACTATTTCTCAATGTCTGTAATCTTGAAAATTACTGATTACTCTCCCTTCTGGTTGGACTAGAACATAGGAAAACTATGAGCAGCACAAAATCCAATTCCAATTCCATGAAACTGCCATAATCCCTGGGCTTTTTCATGTTCCGTAAAGTTTGGAAAACTTTCCAAAATTCTAGGTTTAATTTGAAAAATGATCACTCCTGGCCAGTCCTTCCAGGGCTGAATAGGATGAAGGAAGTCCCAATCTTCTCCTCCAGCTCCTGAGATCAAATCCCAAGTCTCATATCCAGCTCTGTAACAAAAAACTTGCCATGGTCTCCCTTTCTTCTCTGACCCCCAACACCAAAAGATCACAAGCATCTATTCTCCAACATTCCTTCCATCAATTCATCCAATTTTCCCAGCCTAAAACATCAGCAGGCATTCCCTAGAAACACACCAGCTGAGCAGGTCAGAATAGGTAAGCTAATAATTCCTTCACCATTCCCTCCTCTCCTCCAAATCCAATTCCCCAGTCTCATCACCATCTCTGCAATAGAACACTTACTGCAGCTTTCCTTCCCACTTTGGCCACCTCTCCTGGGCATTCCACAGACCCTCCTAACTTACTTCTCTCTACTTGTTGCTTTAGCCCAAACCCCAACTCCAGCAGGCCTCTCTGCTAACCACAGACCTCTCCTGTATGGGAAGCAGGTAGACTGTCTGTAGATCCACTCCTTCAGTTCCTCTAGGTCCAACTCCCAAGTCTCATCTCCAGCACAATATATAGCAGAGCCTATAGGGGGACCTCTCTTCACGGCCTTCCCATTATAAGAAGATGAACTAAATGGATTCTAGTTGAACACACTGCTCTGCTCCCTCCTGTGAACCCCACAGGACCCCTGGCTTATCCTATTCCTAAGTGTCAGCTCCAACACCCGGAAATATATTTTACCTTGAACCCACAGTGGCCACAACTATCAGGGCCAAAGAAATTCCTATGAGGCATAGTCATCAGACTCTATGAGGATCCAGAGGAGAACCAGACACCAAGAAACAAAATGCCCATCCAACAAAGACAAATCCAAAATCAGTCCTTTGCATATAATTCATCCCAAACCCAGATGCCTAGATACCAGCATAAAAACACAAGCAATAAGAGTCTGGGCAATGTCTCCACTACAATCCAGCTATCCTACCACAGCAAGCCATGAACATCACAACATAGTTGAAGCACAAGACTGTAAAATCGAGTATATGAAGATAATAGAGGTCCCTATATGAATACTTTGTTTTGGAATGGATTTTCATTTATTGATACAATTTAAGGTCAATCTTATGATGTGTATATTTCTCCTTTTGTTTAGGTATTGTGTTTATATAGCTCATTTAGAA